CCTCAAATAGTGCAAATATTAAAAGAAATTCAATTGGAATTTGGCATGGATGATCCTTAGGAAAATAGGAGAGGGCCAGCTACTAAAATACCACTGCCTTGCTCCCTTCCAGCAGCAGACACATGATTCCCAGTGCTAGGAAAGCCGGAGGCAATGGATGGCTCTGCTTGGCAAAGAGGGGGCTCCAAGGTTGCCGTTGCTCTGGCTTTGCCAGCACAGTGGCACAGCCTGGGGCTCGGAGCTCCACTGGTTAATCCCAGCTCCCTGGCAGTGAAACCCTCTTCAATTCCATGTTTCCAGCCATCTGGTCCCACTGCCCCAAGCCCCAGGCTCCTGACCCTGCACGGTGTAGCCCACATCCCTGCCTTTTCCCAGAGAAACCCGCCCGGATCCCGCATGTAGCTGGTGGGAATTGCGGGAGGAGATTTCCACAGGGATTTCACCCCAAAAACCTCCCCATCCTTTCGCTTTTGGTTTCACCTCCATCAGCTCCCCCCTGACGCTGTGGTGCTGCAGGGCAGGAAGCTGGTTTATGGCCCTGCTCAGCGTTGGGGACGTGTCACCATTGTGTTTGCTCTCATTTGTCCAGCCAGAGGTGGCACTTCCAGTGGCACGTGTGGGATGCAGATGGAGGCGGGCTGCAAGGACAAGTGGTTGGTGTGAGGATGCTGGGGTTGGGGGTCTTTATGCAATGACCTGTCCCATTGCTGGGGAGGGATTGAATAGAACTCCAGCAACCCTCAGCCTTCACGGCCATCTCCTTCTTCCACCTTCTCCAGTGAATACCAAGGCACGATGGATCACACAATGAGCGCATCCTGTATCCTCCCAGGCCTCACCCCATCCCACCACCTTCATCTCCCATCTTCATTCCATCGCCTGGAGCCCCCATCCCAACAGAGGCACCAGGCGATGCTGCTGGGCACGGATCCTGCTCTTCCCGCTCTGGAAACGGCTCTGACATGTGTCAGCAATAACCAGCGGCGGCCCCAGCACCTCGAGGAGGCCCGGACACCCTCGGCTGGAACCAAACCGCAGCCGGGAAGCAGGAATATTGTTTCAATTATTCCCATTATATAAAATCCACCCATTTTAATATATTCGGCCTCAAAAGGGGCTCAAGGAAGGAGATAAAATAAACACTGGAAACCCGCGCCGCTGGCACGCGCCGGCAGCTCCCTTCCGACACCGAACCTCACCGCTCGCCTGCCCCTTCCTGCTCCAGGCTCCGGCTCCTCCTCCCGCTGCCCCTCGGCCTCCGGCGCCGCTCCACACCAAATCTGTCTTTGGGCTCTGCTTCTGTTCTGGCAGCCGGAGCCTGCGCGGCTGCGCCGGTGGCCAAGCCAGAGCCGAGCCACAGGAGCAGCGGGAGGGGAGCAAGGGTGCTCCCGAGGGATGCAGGGGTGGTTTAAGGCACGTCTGAAGCCCTAAGGCAGGGGTTAAAGCTCCTGGGGTGCCACATCCGCCTGAGAGCATCAGGATCAGCAGGCCCAGGACTGGCCGAAGGCAGGAAGAGAACAAGTGTGCTATGAGTGTGCGATGTCTGGTGTCATAGAACCATAGAACCCCAGCCTGGATTGGGTTGAAGGGACCTTAAAGCTCCTCCAGTTCCAACCCCAACCCCTTCCACTGGAGCAGCTTGCTCCAAGCCCCTGTGTCCAACCTGGCCTTGAGCACTGCCAGGGATGGGGCAGCCACAGCTTCTCTGGGCACCCTGTGCCAGCGCCTCAGCACCCTCACAGGGAAGAGCTTCTGCCTAAGAGCTCAGCTCAGTCTCCCCTCTTTTAGCCATCCTTACACCACCCTTCCCGCCTGGGAGAGCCATCGGCATCCCGTCACCAAGGCTGGAGCTGCCTTTAGCCACACAGAGCCCATCTGCTCCCGCCAGCTCTGGCCAGGCAGGAGCTGCTTCCCACTGCATCTCCCTATGGCACCGGCATCACTGGAGCTCTCCCTTGCCACCCTGTGCCAGGCCCGTTGCTCCTGGAGCACCCACCCACACCTGGCTCCCACATGGGCAGTAAATCTGCAGTTTGGCCTCTCCCAGCAGGTTTCCATGCACATCCACCGGGCTCCAGGCTCTGAGTGGGGGTCTGGTCAGTGCCACCGTGACCAGGGATGCCGGCGAGCACCACGGTGCTGGGTTAGGTGGAGCCGGCATTTCATAAGCACAGGGGAGAGGGCCTCTGCGGAGCAGGGAGCGGCTGTGACTCCATTCCTGTGGGAAGTGCCTGCCACCGTCCAAGCATCTGGCCCTGTTATGATGGGAGAGGAATGCCAAATATTTTTCTTCCTTATCCACTACCGTCTGCTCAAACCCTCCCTGATCAAACCCACATTCATCCCCTTGGATGCACGAGGGCCCCTGCTCCAGAGGAGATATCCCTCCCAGCGGCTGATCCAATCCATAGGAAGCACATTGCAGGTGGGGAGATAACCCTGCCTTCATCCAGGGGCTCCGTCCAACTCACAGCCCCTCACTGCCTCCTTCCCCTGCTTCCAACTACCTCCAACCGTTTCATTTTCACTTTGTTACCTTGGGCAGGAGCATCCTTGGGCCTGCATCCCTGTGCCAGCATCCCTTGGTGCCTGCATCCCTGTGCCAGCATCCCTTGGTGCCTGCATCCCTATGCCAGCATCCCTTGGTGCCTGCATCCCTGTGCCAGCATCCCTTGGTGCCTGCATCCCTGTGCCAGCATCCCTTGGTGCCTGCATCCCTGTGCCAGCATCCCTTGGTGCCTGCATCCCTGTGCCAGCATCCCTTGGTGCCTGCATCCCTATGCCAGCATCCCTCGGTGCCTGCATCCCTGTGCCAGCATCCCTTGGTGCCTGCATCCCTGTGCCAGCATCCCTCGGTGCCTGCATCCCTGTGCCTGCATCCCCATGCCAGCATCCCTTGGTGCCTGCATCCCTGTGCCAGCATCCATAGTGCCTCTATCCCTTCACCAGCATCCCTTGGTGCCTGCATCCCCGTGCCTGCATCCCCATGCCAGCATCCCTTGGTGCCTGCATCCCTGTGCCAGCATCCATAGTGCCTCTATCCCTTCACCAGCATCCCTTGGTGCCTGCATCCCCATGCCTGCATCCCTTGGTGCCAGCATCCCTTGGTGCCTGCATCCCTGTGCCAGCATCCATAGTGCCTCTATCCCTTTATCCCTTCACCAGCATCCCTGTGCCAGCATCCATAGTGCCTCTACCCCTTCACCAGCATCCCTGTGCCAGCATCCCTGTGCCAGTATTCCTGACTAACCTGTGGCCCTGCCAGGACCATGCTGTCCCACCCGGAGCCGCTGTTACCCCAACAGCAGCCCCTGGGGTGGTGCTGGGGGCGCTGGCTGTGCCGGGAAGCAGGCAGCACTGCCTTGGAGGATCACCAAGATTTCTCCAGAGATGAAAGCGTGCTCAAGTGTCAAACAAACTTTCCAATTGATCTTCCTGGACACTTCCTGGTGCTTTGGAAGGCAGAGGAGGAACATTTCATTCCCTGTGCGCTGGCTGTGGCTGCTCCCCAGCATCACCCTGAGTCACTGTGGTTGCCACCCCGGCAGCATCAATCCGGGCTCCCCCGAGCACCTCCTGGCACAGCAGAGGGGATCCAGGCTGGATTACTCAGCGGACAGCACATCCTCCCTGCCCACCGCAGTCTTCAGAGCAGCAGTCATAGAGAGCCCAAGGAAAGGGTTTTCCTGCTCCCTCCGGGACACCCGGCACCCAGCAGCAGGGATCCAGGATCTTGGCAAAGCCAGGGATGAGTGCGAGCCGACTGCCACGTGCTGTCCCCGGGGAGCCAGCGCTAATGAGAGACACCCAATTAGAGGCTGCTCCAGCATCCACAAGCCTGCTCCAGCAGCCAGGGCCAAGGCAGTTCCCTTGCACAGCGTTTCCCTTCCATGTCTGACAAGGACAATTCCCAAGCAGCTCCTGGGGAGCCAGTCACCCACAAGCACCATTGCAGCCTATATACAAGTAGCTCCAACACCATTCCCATATCCATATTCTTGCCAGCTGCTGGCATCCAGCTTCTGGATGGCAGCACCATGCCCATGCCCACAGGTCCCCCTCAGCCCATGCAGATCCATGATGGGAATGCTGTGTTGAGGGCTTGGTTGTTTATGGAAAGTAAGGCTGAGCCAGCTGCTGGAAACCTGCATTTTATGGGTATTTTTTCAATTTCTTTGGCATTTATTTGGAGTATTTCGATTTATTGGCATTAGAAAAAACAGACCTAAAGTGATCCCAACCATTGGAGCTGCTGGTTTCCTATGGCCAGGCCAAAGGGGGTGAAACGGCTCCTTTGTTGTCTGAATCCTTAACTCCTTGGGAATGAAACGTGGTGGTGCTGGCTGGGAGCGGTGCAGGGGGATGTTCAGGGAGGATGGAGGGAGAAACTCATGGGGGTAGAGAGCAAATCCCAGTTAAACCAGTGCATCCTTCAAGAGCAAAGCAGAAACTCTCCATTGATTGACTGGAAACCACCAGGACCAAGGTCCAAACCCAAATCACCTCCATGGGGTGCAGCGTAATGGCAGAGCCACCTGAGCCCAGCTCAAGGAGCACTGGGGTTACCCCAAAAGCTGGGATCTGATCCTTGCTCCTTTCATTTCCCTGTACCACACGGCCGCTGGGCCAGCACGGTGGGGTGAGCACATGGAGCTGCCAGGACAGGCACCCAGGGCTCACCTGGTGACCAAGGTGCTGCAGACAAGCCCCCTTCCCCTCCTGTCCTGCAACCCGTGGGCAAACTGAGAGCTCCCTGCGGTGCGTTTTGGGGAGCACTGAATGGGGCAAGGATGAAAGGGATGAGAACGGCTTGGTTTGGCTCAGTGCAGCTTGGCCTAACGTGGCTCAGCTGGGCTCAGCTCAGCTCAGCTCCACTCAGCCCAGCTGGGCTCAGCTCATCTCCAGCAGCTGAGAGGGAAGTGAGTTCTTGACTCGGGTAAATCAGAGTCAGCTGCAGCCCTGGGACAGCAATGAGCGGATCCAGAGCCGGAGGAGCCGGACCCCACCACGGCTCCAAGCCAGGCTCAGCAGCCCGGGGCGAGGGGGCTGTCTCAGGCATCGTCACCGCCTGGCTCCGCCCCCCCAAAATCGCAGGGGTCCGGCGTGGCCCCGGCTCTGGGATGGCAGCGGCACAGTCGGAGCGCGGCGGGGCAGCGGGACGGGTCCCGGCCGCGGGCTCTGCAGCCGGTTCGTCCGTGGCTGCTGGACGGGGGGGTCCTGGTGTTCTCATAGAGAAGCGGGGGCTGGCAGCGGGTATAAAGGCAGAGCTCCCCGAGCAGCCGGCGCTGTCCCATCGCCATGAGCCCCTGCCCGCCCGGCTCCGGCTCCCGCTCCCGCTCCCTTAAAGCGCGGCAGCACCGCGGGGCGATGGAGTGAACCCGGAGCCGTTCCTCGGCTGGCTCCGGAGGGAGGCGACGAGCCCGCAGCCGCTTGGATGCTCTGATTCCCCCCCTGCCCGACCCGCCTCCTGCCCAGATGCAGTGGATAACATTCATGTTGCTGTTATTCATCAGCTCCATGGAAATGCTCACGCAGAACCGATGGAAGAAGCAAGGTACGGTGCGAGCGCGGCCGGATCGTCCCGCTCAGGTACATGGGGGCAATGGGGGGCAGTGACCTCCTCTGTCGGTGCCGGAGGGGTGAAGCTGGAAGGAGCCGGGATCCAGCATTCCCCAACCCAGCCCCTCGGGGCCCGTTGGGCACCGGCTGCTTCCCCTCCCGGTGCATGGCATGAGGCTGGTGCACAGGCATGTGGAGAAGGTGAAGTGCTGTCCCATGGCAATGCCAGCCCTACCATCGAGGCAATGGAGAGGGGAAACTGGCACAGGGGCTGTGTGCAGGTTCCAGGTGAGACAGAGCAGAACTGGGTGATGTTCTGGTATTTCTCTGCTTAAAGCATTGGGAGTGAAATCTCTTTGGGGGATGCTGAGAGCCACTGCCTGTCCCCTGCACCAGCCAAACTGCTGCTTGGTGCCAAGGCACACGCACCCTCCTTTGGGCACTGGCTCGTGTCTCCTCACCAGTGCCGGTGGCTGATGCTTGACTGGCACTGAGAGGAGCTCAGGATGCTGAGCAGCCTTATGCTATGGGATGCATGGGACATTCGGGTCCTGGCAGCACCCAGGGATCTGGCCATGGCTCTGCACCTCAGACACATGTCCTGTCTCCTGGTATAAGCAATGCAGAAGGGCTGTAGGGTCTGGAAGGTCTGAGGGATGCTGCAGCACTCCACAACTGCCCCACTGCAAACAGGGAGCTGCCTCCATGGGCTGGGTTAGTGCAGTGCCCAGGGGTCTCCCAGTGCCAACAGAGCCCATGGCAGCAGGGCTGGGCAATGATGGGTGATGTCCCTCTGATGTCTGGCACACACTGGCTCTGCAGTCACTGATGGGCAGCGGCATCCCTAATTTCCCTAGTCCTGGTTTTGGTGTGTGGCACATCCCATTAGACAGCAGAGCCATCCAGCAGCTCCCTGGTGTCGCTCCTGGCACAGTGGCGCGTGCCATGCCGGCAGCCCTGATGCTCATGGTGCCAAGGAGCAGGTTGTGTCTGGCCAACCCTTCCCAAGCTCCACACACCGGGGCTATCTCTAAAGCCTCACAGGGCTCCCACCTCCCCTGCCCCGCATGGGGGCTGGAAAGAGCAGCAAAGAAGTGCTCCGAAAGAGCGAGGGAAGGGAAAGAAGCTCGTAAATCCCTGGGAAGTCTCCAGGGAAGCGGCTCCGGCTGCAGCCAGGAACACAAATGTTGTCAGCGTTTGGTAAATATGAAACGGAGACCATAACAACTTAATGGATCCAAGGTGCTTCGTTAGCGCGCTCCCAGCAGACACGGCACTAAGGAAGCCTTGTGGCTGCTGCCACTGTCCAGGCCCCTGTGCTGCAGGGAGGGAACAGGGATGAGCCCTATAGGGGCAGATACACGGCACTACTGCTTGCGCCAGGGACATTGAGGTGGCTCCCAGCATCTTTCCTGGCTTCCCCAGCACCCACCTCTGCTTGCCCCTGGCCACTGCAGCCATGGGGCTCCTGCTGCTGTCAGCTCCTGGGGTCAGAGAGGATCAGTGCTGGGCAGTGCTCCTGGGGGTGAAGCCCATGTCTGGCTCCTTTGGCTCAGTTACCCAGGGCAGGTCCCTTCTAGAGCTTGGATCCAGGGATCCGCATCAGCCCTTGCGTGTCCCAGCTGTAGGCTCTGGGCTCTGCTCTGCCCAGGGCAAACACCTCTTTATACCTTTACTAAGCGCAAAAAGCCATCTTAATGCTCCAAGATGTGCTGGCAGCTGGAGTCTGGCACTGGCTCTGCCACTGCTGCACCACAGGAGCCTTTGCTCAGGAGCACCCAGAGGACCCCAGGGTGCTGGAGCCAAGCAAACCCTTCCCAACACAGCAGAGACGTCAGCTGTCCATGCAGGAGCTTGCAGGCCCCTTACAGAGACGCCCAGCCAGCCTGGGGGTGCAAGGAGACCCCGGGTGCTGGTAGCCCTCAGTAGCAACCCGGATCCATACCGGGAGCATCACCCAGGGCCGCATTTCTCCAGCACTGGGATCCAGGAGGAGCTGTTGGCAGGATCTCCATGGGCTCTGCAGGCTGGGGGGGGCTGGCACCCATCCTTGCTGGGAGCAGAGCCCACCGTGGGGCCGGCTGCCCTCACGCAGGTCAGGAGCGCGGCAGAGGCAGCCAAGGAGGCGGCAGAGGCTCTTTAGCCAGCAGACAGATCCTTATCTCGGCTCCTCTTGAGTGGTTCCAAAATCCCTTTGTCCCCTGACACTTAACAGGCACCAACCAATTAATCCAGGTCAGAGCGTATTTCTACTGGCAGAGCTGTTGTTTGGCTCCCATTAGGATGCTTCCCACGGGCTGGGGATGGATGGTGCAGGGACAGGGTGTGGGGCGAGCCCTCAGTTCTGGATCTTGGGTTGTTGGGGGAGATGATGCCCAAATAGCGGGGAGCAATGGGTTTGTGCATTCCCATGCTGGCAGACAGGGAAACAGCAGGGATTTGGGGTGGTGTTTGCGGGGAATCAGGACAGTGCTGTCACCCCCATGGGGATGGCAGGGGGCTGGGACCCTCCCTGGCCCATTGCCCATGCCGTATGCATGTGTCCCCGCAGCGAGCGCCGGCCTGCTGGAGAACTGCACGGGCTGCGTGCTGTGCTCCGAGGACAACGGCTGCATCACCTGCCACCACCGGCTCTTCCTGCTCATCTGGAGGGACGGCATCCGCCAGTTCGGGGTGTGCGTCCATACCTGCCCCCCCGGCTACTTCGGCGTGCGGGGGCTGGAGGTCAACAGATGCACGAGTAAGGTCCCGGGGTCCTCCCAGTGCCCCCCAGTGCCATGGGAGGGGTGATGGGTGGTGGCACAGAGCCCGGGGCAATGGGGCTCCCTCCCCTCTTCCCATCCCAGACCCAAAGGGCTCTGGGTTGCTGGTGGGTACTGGGCTGCCGGCTCCGGGCTCTCCCGGCTGAGCATCCCTCCTCCTCACAGGGTGCAGGTCTCCGAGCTGCGAGAGCTGCTTCAGCAGAGACTTCTGCATGAAGTGCAAGGACAAGTTCTACCTGCACAAGGGCCAGTGCTTTCGGCAGTGCCCCCCCAGCACCACGGTGCAGCCCGGCACCCGCGAGTGCCAAGGTGAGGAGCACTCGCACCCCATCCCCGTGGTCCCTGCGGTGATGCCCGGGGCTGTGCGGTCACCGGCCCCGCTCGGCGCCCCTGTCCCCCCCAGAAACGTGCGAGCCGGGCCCCTGGAGCGAGTGGAGCCCCTGCACCCACGAGAGCCGGACCTGCGGCTGCAAGTGGGGAGTGGAGACGAGGGTGCGGGAGGTGTCGGGGGCCCCCCGGGAGGAAGGAGCCGCCTGCCCCGCGCTGCTGGAGACACGGAAGTGCCGCATGAGGAAGCACTGCCCAGGAGGTGAGCATCGCATCGCATCGCGGGCAGCCCGCCCCATAGCCCATCCCATAGCCTGCCCCACAGCCAGCCCTACAGCCTGGCCCATAGCCTGCCCCGCAGCCCATCCCATAGCCTGCCCCATAGCCTGGCCCATAGCCTGCCCCACAGCCCATCCCGTAGCCTGCCCTACAGCCTGGCCCATAGCCTGCCCCACAGCCAGCCCTACAGCCTGCCCCCCAGCCCATCCCATAGCCTGGCCCATAGCCTGCCCCACAGCCACGTCTATAGCCTGGCCCATAGCCCGGCCCATAGCCTGCCCCACAGCCAGCCCTACAGCCCATCCCATAGCCTGCCCCCCGGCATCCTGCAGCCGATGGATGTAACAGGAGTTACAGGCACATGTGCTGAGCAGCCCCGGTGCTGGTCCTGGCTATGGGGCTGGGGGACCCCTGCTTGCACCCAGCAGCTCCTGGCACCGGCCGATGTCTCCATCCACTGCTGGGCTGGGCTGGCCACTGGTGGGAGCCTCTGTGATGGAATGAGGCTGGCAAGGGAGGGGAAAGCACGGCCAGAGCTTTGTGCAGCACAGTTGTGAATGAGGAGGGTTGAGGACAGCAGGGGAGGTTCCTCCAAAACCCACTGAGCCCCAGAAACACTCACGGAGCTCGAAGGCATCACCCAGGGGGCTTCTGATGGCCAAAGCCTTGGGTGACATCCCAGAACAGGGCTCATCTCCATGAACATGAGCCCCAGAACAGGGCTCTTCTCCATGGGTTACCCAGCCAGATGTTGGCCCCTGCTCCTGTGCCTTCTCCCAGTATGGCAGCACCGCATCCCAAGGGCTGGGGGCTCCTCGGCGCTGAGTTCCCTGGCTCAGGGCTTCCCACTACGTCTCCCATGTCCCATCCCTGGTTGCCGGGGCCGTGCGGGCACGTGGCTGGCGCTGGGAGCGAGGGGGAGGCTGATGTCATTTTTGGATGCAACCGGCTGGACCGAAGCCGTTCTAATAAATCTCCCCTTCACAACTGGCAGAAGGAGGGGGGGGATTGCAATGGGATACGGATGTGCCGGGCCTGGCAGCACATCTGAGCCGCGGCGCTTGGCGGGCCCGAGGCGCGGGGACGTGCCGGCCGGCAGCGCCAGCGTGGCAGCGCCGCGGTGCCCCAAGGAAGGGACCAGCCCGAGGATGGAGCAATGGGGGCAGTGATGGGATGTGCGTGCTGAGGCTGGGGCCGTGCAGCCAGAGGAGCAGCTTTGTCCCAGCGCTATCAATCGTAAATCAGGTTTTACTGCTGACAGCACAGAGGAGACGATTTCCTGCCCCAGCCGGGCCCTGGCTGGCGGCCTTGGGGTGCCAGGTGGCATCGATTTGGGGGATGTTCCCATCCCTGCTGGGCTGCTCTGTCTCTGGACCCAGTGACAGCTTGATGCAGCCGTTATGGTGTGCCAGGACTGGCTGCTCCATAGCACAGTGTCCCGCAGCGGGGTGCCCGGTGCCTACAGCCCGGAGCCTTGTCCTGGAAGCAGGGAATGCCGCTCCAGTGCTCCAGAGGCGCCTTGGATGTGAGGTGATTGAGAAGGGAACAGCACCCTTGGAAAGCACTTGGGCTCTTGTCCAAGGAGGATGCTCCTCAAGGATGCTATGGGGGATTAGCTCCGGAGGCAGATCTAGCGCCAGGAAGGCACAGGGGAACCCATCAGTGCCCCAGCCAGGAGGCAGGAGAGGGCAGCCCTCAGTGCCCATCATCACCAGGGCGACTGCTCAGTGTCCCCTGGCTCCCAGGCTCCGAGTGCTGGGTTATGGGATCCAGATGCTGAAGGAAGAGGAGGAGGAGGACAATGAGTTCACTGGATGCAGCCAAGACACCCCCAGCCCGGGCGAGCCGGGGAAGGCAGCAGCGGGGCCCGAGCGTGTGAGGAGAGATTTGTGCCACCACTTCTAAGGCGTCCGCAGGCAGCTGGAAGGGGGGAGCATCCGCGCTTGGCCGAGGCACAAACCCCTCGCGCCGCTGTAAATCTGTCCTGTGTCTGCCGCGCTCGGCGTTCGTGCTGTGCCCTCGCCTCGGTGGGTGGCAGCTGCCTGGGAGAGCGGAGCTGGGAAACAGGGATGGGAAGGGAAAGGAGATGGAGCCCTCGGAAAGGGGCGGCCGCTCACCAGCCCCGTGCCCCTCACACAGGGGATGTGTGGGGAGAGGGGCACCGGACCCCTCTTATCACCCATCTTTAAGTCAGGAGAGTGCATGGGTGGAAGAAGAAGTGAAGCTTCCCAGTTTTGGGGCAGCCATTCCGCTCCCAATAGGGGTTCCCCTTCCCATTGGAACCCATGGCACAGATCTTCTCCTGCATCCTTGTTTGGTGTCTCAACCAGTGCTTTGGGGAACTCCTTAGGGTGTGCAAAGAACTGGGGACCACCGGTCCTGACAGCAGGATGCAGCCAAGCTCCACTGGTGCCTGGTGAAGGAGCATCCACACAGGGATGGGAGAGCAAGGCATGGCTGTGGCACAGCTTTGGAGCGCTGATGCAGCCATAGTTGTGCTCCAGCATCCCCAGTCCTTGCTCAGGGAGAAGGCGGGTACCTCAGGCATGCCCCTATGGTGGCCGAGCATCTCCCAGCCCATTCCTGGAGGTTTTTGGGGTACCAGAATTTAGGATCTGCCCATAGAAGCTGGGGGGCAATGCACTGGTGTCCCTCTGCCCATGCTGCTGTTCGGTGATGCTGGAGAGGGCTTTGGGGTCCCCCAGATTGGGAAGAGGCTCCTGTCTCACACCAGAGCGAGGATGCGGGGTGTGCACCCCATGGATGAGGCTCGGGCCGGGTCCTGATGAGCGATCCCTCCTTTTCTCCTCCTCTTTCCTGTTCCAGACAAAAACGAACCCAAAACTAAAGGCAAGAAGAGGCAGAAGAAGCCGAAGACAGAACCGGAGGCGGGTACTTAGCGGCTCCAGCACTGGAGCTGGGGCAGTGCGGTGGGAGCAGGGTGGGAGCTGTCGGAGCCCCTGGCCAGGGCTCCCACCGCGCTGCCCCAGCCGCATCACCCCGGTTTTCCATCCACAGCGCAATTGCACAACCTCTTCTCCCTCCCTCTCCCCTTTTCTTTTGACACAATTTATGGCCTGTAAAACATTTCCTTTTCAGAAAATCTAATTTGCAGTGTCCAAAGCAATGCCCTGGGGCTTGGGGAGGGGGGTGGCTCCTTCATTTGGATGGTTTTCCCTCTCCCCCAGCCTGCGCCATCCCTTCCCGTGCTCCAGACGGCTGGGATGGGGTTGGACCCTGCTGATGAGGATGGTGTCTGCCTGGGTATCATCCCTCAGGGCTGGGAGATGCTCTGTTCCCACGGGGTCCCGATTGCACAGGGATGCTCTGGTGTCATACAAGCCCCCCATCCTTAGCTAGCAGCACAGAGAACAGTGGAACACCAAGGATGGGACCCCTCTGGAGACCAGCCCAGTGCTCAGCATCCCCCCCAGCACAACCATGGACCATATCCTGCCATCCTCAGGCTTACAGAAGGGCTGGAAGAGCTTCTCTCCCCAGCTGGATGTTGGCACAGGAATTTGGGATCCCATAGCCACGCTCGGTCCAGGACAGGGGCACACACAATGCCACCGCAGCAACTGGAGCAGGCAATGGTGTTGCCTCCAGCATCGCCCAGTGGATGCTCTGGGAGCAGCCCCCATCCCAGCCATCACCAGGGGTGCTGAGCCACACTCACATCACCTTCAGGACTCACAGCTGAATGCCCATAAGGGCTCTATCAGTGGGTTCAATGTGTGTTCGCTCCTGTTGCTGCCCCAGCCACAGGCACTGCTGCATTTGGGGGTGTGCTGGGGCCCGAGCCCCCAACCCGAGGCCTGGCACTGGTGTATGGGGGCTGCACAGAGCCTTCAGGATGAGAGCACTGGGTGTCAGCATCGAGCCAGCCCCGGAGCTGTTCGCTTCATGTCCAATAAAGGCACAAAACCCTCGGCACGGCGCTGCCTCCCTGGAGTCCTCATTCCCAGCAGGAGCCATTCCCATGAGGATGGGGATGAGCCGCCAGGACCCAGGCACTGGGGGGAGCCTGAGCAAAGACTTGAACACCGTTGGTTAAAGCTTCCCCAGCATCACTGGGTGCTGGAGGCAGAGGGAAGCGCTCACCGGGAGTGCTCCCTGCAGGTATCCCGGGGTCAGCACTGCCACCGGGAAGCACTGAGCCGGTTGCTAATGGCATGAGAGTATCAGGTCTGCAGCCATGGCTGGGTTCAGCCGTGTTATCCGGTTACCGTGAAGGCACAACTGCAGCCACTGGCCTGATGGCAGCTCCCACGTTTCCTATGGAGGGGCCTGGAGCATCCCACTCATTGGGCTCACAGCATCCTGCAGTGACCAGGGTCAGTTCTCCAGCTCCATGGCTGTGTGAGCAGCCTGGTGTGTCGGGATACCCGTCTGCCCCCAGTGCTGGGAGACAACCACCTCCTCCTGAGGTGCTCGGGCATCCCCACTCTGTCATTGTCCCCTTCTGGGGGATGCAGCATTGATCTATACCAGCACACAGGCTGCAAGCTGCACTGGGGGGGATCCTCAGTGGACCCCCAGTCTGAGTTCTGGGCACCCTAAGCCCTGTGCAGGGTCTGGCCAGGTCCTGCCAAGCTCCGCCTGGAACTCAGCCCCTATCCTGGTCCCCACGGGCTCATCCCGAGGCCAAATCCAGGCCTGGCTCCATCCCATGTTATAAATAGCCGGGATGCAGGGAGGGAGCTCTTGCTGTTGGGATGGGGGTGCCCCGGGGGTGCTGGGACCCACTGGGTACTGCTGGGGTGGGGTGGGCTCACAAGGGGCCGGGGCTGGGTTGTGGGTACCAGGATGGGAGGTGCAATGAGCTGTGCAGAGACCGGGGGCTGCATGCATGCATGCATGTGTGCATGTGTGTGTGTGCGAGGCATGCAGCGATCACGTGTGAAACTTGATCTGTGCTCAGTGGGCTCGGGGCGGGGGGGGGGGAGCAAAAAGGCCCAGAATTGTTTTCAAACCGGGTTTTTTTTCCTCTTGTTTTCATTCCGGGTTTGGTTTTTCCCCTCTCCCCCCCGCCGATAAAAGCCCGGAGCCGGCTCCGAGGGAGGAAATGCCAAAACTGCAGCGCTGCGGCTCGGCGGCGAGCGCCCGCTGACCCAAGCGCCGGCATCCGCGCATCCCGCACGCAGCCGGTACCCAGCGGCACCATGCGGGTGCTGAGCCTCGGCCTCCGCCTCCTGGCGCTGACCTGCGCCGTGACCGCGCTGCGCGGGGCCGGAGCGCAGCGGCGGGCGCTGGACGCGGGCAGCCGCCGGCGCTCCCACCGGGTGCAGCACGGGCACTGCAGCTACACCTTCGTGCTGCCCGAGGCCGACCCCGCGCCCTGCGCTGCAGCCGCCGCTGCCGCCGCCGCCGCTGTCCCCGGTCCGGCCAAGGCGCTCCTGCAGCGGGACTCGCCGGCTGGCACCGCGCACGGCGGCCACCGAGCGGCCCAGCGCCTGCGGCACCTCGAGAGCGCCCTGGAGAACAGCACCCAGTGGCTGCTGAAGGTGGGTGAGGGCACGGGGGGGCTCTGCCGACAGCGCCCATGGGGGCAGCATCCTCGTAGCGGCTGCCTGGTCCAGCAGAGATGCGTGGGGGTCTTGTGCCAGGTCAGCATCTCCCCTGCAACCTGTTTGCACCAGGTGGGGACTGTCTGGAGGAGGATGGGTGCTGTGGGTGCTGTGGGTGCTATGGGTGCTGCAGATGCTGTGGGTGCTGTGGGTGCTATGGGTGCTGCAGATGCTGTGGGTGCTGCAGTGTGAGTACTGCAGCTCCTGGGTGCTGCAGCTCACCGGTGCTTGCCTGTATCCTGCTATCACCCCTGCCATGGCTCATCATGGTCCCACCACAATGGAGCAGGGAATGGGGGGGCTCTGCCGGCAGCACCCATGGGGGCAGCATCCTCATAGCGGCTGCCTGGTCCAGTAAAGATGCATGAGGATCTTGTGCCAGGTCAGCGTCTCCCCTGCAACCTGTTTGCACCAGGTGGGGACTGTCTGGAGGAGGATGGATGCTGTGGGTGCTATGGGTGCTGCAGATGCTGAGGGTGATGTGGGTGCCGTTGGTGTTGTGGGTGCTGCAGTGTGAGTACTGCAGCTCCTGGGTGCTGCAGCTCACCGGTGCTTGCCTGTATCCCCCTATCACCCCTGCCATGGCTCATTGTGGTCCCACCACAACGGAGCAGGGACAGTGGAGCTCAGCGCTCCCTGTTCTGGGTCAGGATGCTGGAAAGCTCTTGGGAAGGCTGTTGGCAGGCAGCAGAGAGAGGGACCTAAGGGCAGGAGCCACCAAAACCCCTCCAGCTTCATCATGGTCCCACTTATGGGCTCCTGGTGCTTGGTAAGACTTTGAGTGGGGCCCATGGCTCCCTGTGGCCCTGTGACATGTCGGTGGCTGCAGGCTGGGGGGCAGTGGGGTGCCCCCACCCCGGCTCTCCCCATCCCCATGACTGGAAGCAGGAAGCGGCATTTCCTTCCAGAGAGCTCAAGCTCTGATGGACCCCATCTGCGGGCGCCTGCGTCAGACCCAGGAATAGCTCCCGGCGGCTCATCCCATGGGACACAGCAGCAGCACTCTGGGTGCTTGTCCTGATAAGAGGGCACGCGGCTCGTCCCGGCCATCACTGACCCTCCAGGCCAATGGCATCACCAGCACGGCCACATCCCTGTGCTGGGGGCGGATGCAGTGGGACCTGGGTGTTGTTGCACCCCCATTTCCTTGATGATGCCAGGCAGCAGCACTCGGGCTGGGCTGAAAGCACCAAGCGAGGTCCCAGGGGTGGCCCAGGAGCCTCTCCTGGCTGTGGGGTAACAGGGACACGCAGCGCTGTGTCGCAGGGGGACCGGCAGAGCCTGTCACCACCCGGCTGGTGACACTGAGTCTCCATCACTGCGGGACCTGCTGGCTCTCCTGTGCATGCACAGCCTGGGGTACCCATGCCCGGGGGTCCCTGCTTTGGGGAACCTGCTCCTTGGCCTCCCTGCCCTGGGTGCCCAAGCGCTGAGCATCTCTTGGAGTGAGAACAACCTTTAGGCATGCCCAACAAGGCAGGGGCCGTGGGTCCGATGTAACCAAGACAGATGTGGGGCTGCACATCTGGGCAGCTGCGGGCAGCGATGCCCCACACTGCAGCCCCAAGGAGCACAAGGCAGCGGGGCACTGGGCAGTGGTACCCCATCTCATTATCCCAGCTCATCCCACCCCATTATCCCACCGCACCCCACAGCACGACCCTCTCCTTTTGGAAGCAGCCCACAGCGATGTTTCACTGTTGCTCCTCAGCATTCCCAATCCATCCCAACTGCCCAGGGAAGCTTGTTTTGGTCGGGCTCCAGGCCTGAACAAACAATCCAGGGCTCGAAGGAGGTATCGGGTTTTGGGATGGATTGTGAACATCGCATCCCCGTCTGCTCTGCCCTGGCCTGGGCAGCCTGCCTGGGTGCTGGGGGGTGCTGGGCTCCCGAGGCCCCTCAGTGCCCCCCAGGAGCCCCATACACAGCACTGCGGTGTTGCTCCATCCTCCCCATGTGCATCCCCCGTGTTGGGGAGGGACAGGGACAGGGCCAGCACCCAGCACAGGAGGACGTGGGGCTTCTCCCTGTCCCATCGGCTGCTCCCCACTCAGGAGGAATTCATTTGAGTTCAGACACAAACATGGATGGTGCCACCAGGTCTGGGGGGGCTCAGGGCAGGATGGGGTCCCCCTGGTGAGGTACAGGCAGCAGATGGGGGGTCCTCCCACCTCTGGACCCCCCAACCAGTGCCTGTGGGATGCTTGGAAGTACCAGTGCAGATGGGGACACTGGGGGGATGCGGCTGCAAGAAGGCAGCACAGAACCATCCAGCCCAGGGCAACAGATCCCAGCACTGGGACAGCAGGGTGCTGGGGTCCCTCCTGCTCCAGGGAAGCTTTTGGGGTGACCAACAGCACCTCTCCCCTCCACGGGGAGGGATGAGGTTGGTGGGACCCTGCTCAGCTCGGTACCCATGGGCTGAAGGGGAGACAACCCCAGATCCCTGTGCTCTGCACAGACCCCACTTGGGTCCCCAGTGCCACCCACGTTTGGGGTCACTGCGCCCCTCTCCAGTCCCTGCTGCTCCCAGGCTGATGCTGGGGCCGGGAGCGGGGGCTCCGTGTCCGTCTCAGCCCTCTCCGTGCCAGCCTGACCTTTTCCCTGGGTATGTTCTGCCCCGGAGCTCCGAGATCTGTTTATTTAATAGGGGAAAAAAAAGCAGCCAAGCGAATGGGGGGGAGGAAAGGCCTCCCCGAGCCTGTGAAGCAACAAGATTAACGACGTGGTTAAAGGGAAACTCTCCAGCAATCGCTCGGCTCGGGAAATGTTTTCCAGACGTGGCTCTCCGACCTTTCCCCACTTCCTCCTTATGAGCGAGGGAAGATCCCCCAGGATCGGGGGGCAGGCGGTGCTGGATGGGACCCTCCTGCCCGCTCTGGGTGCTCGCAGTGGGGTGATGGTGCTGCTGTTCCCTGGGGCTGGGAAGCAGGGGCTGGGGCCTCACTGCGATTTCATCATGTGCAAACAAGTGCAAGAGCAGAGCCCTGCGCCCTGGCCCGCTGCCGGCCCCGCTCCCGTGCCAAGCATCCCGGCAGCAGCATCCCGCCGGCCCCGCGCTCCCATGGGCTGCACCGGGATGCGGGGCTGGGATGCAGCAACCCGAGGCTCCCTGCTGGGGGGTTGTGTTCCCAGCGTGGGCAGCGCAGCCCCTTCCGCTCCCCGCGGCCCCTGCCGAAGCCCCCGTGTCCCCCCTGCGGCCGAATGGGAACCTCATGGAGGGGCTGCCAGGAATAGAAAAGGCCTTTGGGAAAAGCGGCTCCCCGCGGGCTGGGAAAGAGGAAGCGGGAGCTCAGCTGTGTCCACAGCGGCTTCTTCCCAGCCCCGAGCTCTTCCCTGCGATGGGGCAGCACCGGGGGATGGACACCCACCTTCTCTGGCCAATGGTGGCCCCAACCTCCCCATTCCCAGCCATGGGAATGTGGTGTCCGGGGGGCTGGCAGCTGATGCTGGTGCTGGACACACTCTTCCAAGCCTCCCCCCCTTGCCAGCACACACAACCCTGTGCCGGGTCCAAGGAATCTGGTTCCCAAAGGGGCTCCCCCGCAGCAGCACAGCCCATGGGCAGCTCACTCTGATAACCCCAAAGAGCCCGGGGATGGGATGGGATGGGATGGGATGTGCCACACTGGAGCGCTCCCAGCGCTGTGCCAGGGAGCTTCCCAAATGAGCCCCCCCATCCCTGCTCCCCCCCTCCCGCAGCTGGAGAGCTACATCCAGACGGGCATGAAGCCGGAGGTGGCGCAGGCAGCGGTGCAGAACCAAACCGCCACCATGCTGGAGATCGGCAGCAGCCTCCTCAACCAGAGCGCGGCGCAGAGCCGCAAGCTCACCGACGTGGAGGCCCAGGTACAGCCCCTGCTGCTCCCCCCGGTCCCCACAGCCCCCCAGGGCCATGGCAAGGAGCAGGGGGGCTCTGCTGCTAAAGCACCTTGAGGTTGGGCATGGTTCAATGCACCGGTGGCACCAGGGCCATGGGTGCTCACAGGGATGCTCTGGGGTAGGTGCTGAACCAGACGTCACGCATCGAGATGCAGCTGCAGGAGAACTCGCTGTCCACCACCAAGCTGGAGAAGCAGCTCCTGCTGCAGACCAACGAGATCCACAAGCTGCAGAACAGGAACAAGTAGGGCCTGGGGGTGGCCCCCCCGAGCCCCCAGACCCCAATGGGTGTCTCCCATCCTAGGAGCAGGGCTACACTTTGATGGGAGGGGGTAAACTTGCTCAGGGGCTGGCTGGGGTCCATGGGGGGGGTCCCACAGCCCCAGCACAGACCTTTGGGCATCGGTTTCCCTTTGCTAAGCACATCCCAGAGGTACCAAGTGGGGTGTGATTCTGTGGGTGCTGCAGCGGATGGGCCAGCTCTGGGTCCCCACTGATGGGCCAGGGTACCACAGCTGGGGCTGGGGCTGCAGAGCCACTGTGTTCACAGCCTCCCCATCGCCGCTGCCTCCCCCCTTCCAGCATCCTGGAGGTGCGGGTGCTGGAGATGGAGACCAAGCACCAGGAGGAGCTGGAAGGGGCCCGCTCCGAGAAGGAGAAGCTGCAGCGGTTGCTGAGCCGGCAGAGCGGCACCATCGAGGAGCTGGAGAAGTCTCTGCTGGCCACCAGTGCCAACACCAGCCTGCTCCAGCGCCAGCAGCTCCAGCTCCTCGAGGCCGTGCAGAGCCTGGTGCGCCTCGTGTCGCAGGGCAGAGGTGAGATGGGGCAGGGTGCAGGCAGGGTGCGGGCAGTGGGAGAGCTCCTCATCCTCCCGGCACAGCCCTGGGGACATGGGGCAGAAGAAGGGGAAATAACCCATGGGCACAAACAGCACCAAAGGGCCTGGGGAGAGCAGCAGGGCCAGGCAGGGCTGTGGGACCAGCCGGGGTCCCACTGTCTCACCGGGCCTCTGCCGCAGCCACGCTGCCGGGGCAGGAGCAGCAGTTCCAGGACTGTGCCGAGATGCACCGGGCCGGCATCCGCACCAGCGGTGTCTACACCCTGCACATCAGCAACCTCAGCGAGCCCAAAAAGGTGAGTGTGGCCCAGCAAGGGATCCCCAGGGTGCTGCCAACCCCAGTGCATGCTAGTGCTGGTATCCTGATTGCCCTGCTGGGGCTGCCCCATCCCTGGCAGTGCTCAAGGCCAGGCTGGACACAGGGGCTTGGAGCAAGCTGCTCCAGGGGAAGGGGTCCCTGCCCGTGGCAGGGGTTGGAGCTGGAGGAGCTTCAGGTTCCCTTCAACCCAAACCATTCCACGGTTCTATGATCCCAATCCCATCTGGCTGGAAGGGCTGAGGCTCCAGAGGGGGTGAAGGGAGGAGCTGCTGGGTGAAGGCAGGGCTTGCACAGACCCCTCAGCAAGCTGCAGCACCCATGCAGCACTGTTACAGCACCCATATAGCACAATACAGCACCCATACACCACCATACAGCACCATACAGCACCCATACACCACCCATACACCACCATGCAGCACCCATACACCACCATGCAGCACCCATACACCACCATACAGCACCCATACACTACCATGCAGCACCCATACACCACCATGGAGCACCCATACACCACCATACAGCACCCATACACTACCATGCAGCACCCATACACCACCATACAGCACCCATACAGCACCATACAGCACCTATACAGCACCCATACACTACCATACAGCACCCATACAGCACCCATACAACACCATACACCACCATGCAGCACCCATACAGCACCATACAGCACCCATACACCACCATGCAGCACCCATGCAGCACCCATACACCACCATGCAGCACCCATACAGCACCATGCAGCACCCATACACCACCATGCAGCACCCATACACCACCATACATCACCCATACACCACCATGCAGCACCCATACAGCACCCATACAACACCATACAGCACCATGCAGCACCCATGCCTGGCGCTGCCCGCTCCGCAGCCCATGCCGGCTCTCCCCGCTGCAGGCGTACTGCGACATGGAGACAGACGGCGGCGGCTGGACCGTCATCCAGCTCCGTGCCAACGGCAGCCTCAGCTTCCAGAGGAGCTGGAGGGAGTACAGACAGGTCTGTGCCTGCCGGGCCGCGGGGGACAGCCCGGGGACAGCCCGCACTCACCCCGCCACTGCTCCCGCAGGGGTTTGGGGATGCTGCAGGCGAGCACTGGCTGGGTAACGAGGCCGTGCACCTCCTGACGAGCCAGGGCCCCTATGCCCTGCGCGTGGAGCTGCGGGACTGGGAGGGCGGCCAGGTCTATGCCCACTACGGGAAGTTCCAGCTGGGGAGCGAGCGGCAGCTCTACAGGTAGGAGAGAGGCAGCTCCAGCCCCGCCTGTCCCCATGGGTGAAGGGGCTGCGGTGCCCCCGGGGGTGCAGGATCCCACAGGGCTTCACACAGCTCTTCCCTGTGAGGGTGCTGAGGCGCTGGCACAGGGTGCCCAGAGAAGCTGTGGCTGCCCCATCCCTGGCAGTGCTCAAGGCCAGGTTGGACACAGGGGCTTGGAGCAAGCTGCTCCAGTGGAAGGGGTTGGGGTTGGAACTGGAGGAGCTTTAAGGTCCCTTCAACCCAAACCAGTCTGAGTCTCTGGTCCCAGTCCCAAGCATAGCCTGACCCCCACCCTCGGCGACCCCAAACCATCAGCTCCAGGCCAAGCTGGAGGTGCAGGATCTCTGCCTGCATCCCTCTGTGCCTCTGCTGGTGGCATCCCATGTCCCTCAACGCCCCAGCTCAGAGCTGAGGGGCTCTCTGTGGCCCCCACGATACCCAGCGCTGATGGCCCCATGCCCACCGGTGCCGCAGGCTGTCACTGCAGGACTACAGCGGCACGGCCGGGCAGCAGAGCGGGTTGGCACTGCAGGGCACCCGCTTCAGCACCCGCGACGCCGACAACGACAACTGCCTCTGCAAGTGTGCCCAGATGCTGTCGGGAGGTGAGCGGAGTGGGGGACACCCCCATGCAGCACCCATGGGTGCTCCCCAAGGGATGCCACCCCCCCACACCCCTGCTCCCTCCTTGCAGGCTGGTGGTTTGATGCCTGTGGGCTCTCCAACCTGAACGGCATCTACTACCCCGCGCGGCACAACATCCGCAAGCTCAACGGCATCCGCTGGCACCACTTCCAGGGGCCCAGCTACTCCCTGAAGGGCACCCGCATGCTCATCCGCCCTGCCGGCTTCTAGCGCCTCCGCCCGGAGCAGGGCCACCGGGACAAGGGGTGGTTCATGGGGAACCACCAGATCCCACCTCCCTTCTCTTCCCATCCTTCTGTTGGGACTCCTGGGTTTACCCCAGGATGGGGTCCAAGGCCCACCAGGACCCCCTGCACACGCACCCAGGCTCCAAGGCACGCCAGGGCTTTGCCTTTTCTGTCTTTGGGCGTTGCAAAGCTCCCCGTGGTCCTTTTTCCCCATGGGATCAGGGGAGCTGGAGGGGATGGGGATCCTCATGATGGAGGCCGGTGTTGGCAGAGCCCTGGGATGGGGTTGAGGGGTTGCAGTTTGGGATGGGGCTGTGCAGTGGGGAGAGGATGGGAAGGGTCCTGGGGAGGTCTTGAAGGGGGTCTGAGCTGGGGCAGGGATGGGAGGAGATGGGGATGCAGGCAGTGAGACCCCCTCACCGCGGATGCTTTGAGATGGCAAAACCAGGCTGGGGGCAGCTTGGGGAGCAGCCGGAGCAGTGGGGTACGGAGCAGCGCGGTCTCCCTACGGCAGCAGCAGGCCCCAGGAGCGGCCCCAGGAGCTGGCGCAGGTCGGGATGGAGCCCTTTTATTTTTGTACTAAGAGATATTTATTTTCCAGGGGTCTGGAGGGGGCTCTGGGGGAGAGCTCTGCAGGGAACCGCTCCTCCTGCTCTGCTCAGCGGCAGGGCAGGACACGGGGACCCCTGTGCAGCTCAGTGCATGGGTGAGCGCGCTGTAGGACAGGGCTCGGGGACACCCAATCACAGCCTTCTGCAAGCACCCCTGTCCCCTCATTGTCCTCGTCCCCTTCAGCCCCATTGCCACTAGATTCCCCCTTAAGCCAATTGCGGCTCCCTTCAGCATCATCACCCTTGGGTGCCCCACTGCATCCCCAGGTCACCTTTCCCACTGGTACCCAAGCCCTGGGGAGCTGGTGGCAGCGGTGACAACCCCAAAACCAGTCCCTTTCACGCCTTGCTGGCTGGGTGACAGCAGAGACCTCACAGAGCTGAGTTTGCTGCCACCAAACCCCATTTCCCCCATCTTGGGGAACAGGGGCAGTGCCCCCCAGTGGGGTGAGGGACATGGGGATGCACTGTCCTGCCCATTGGGACAGTGGGACCCGCTGGCAGGGTGCTGGTACCGGTGACACCCGGCAATGGGGGGGAGGCTCAGGGCTGCCCTCGGCACTCACTCATTAACTGTGATTAAAGCACGTGGCGTGGTTGGCGCTTCCCAAAGGTGCTCATCAGGGTGGGATAATGCCAGGATGGGAAGCGGAGGGAGGGGGGATGCTGAGAGCGAGCGGCGCTGCAGGAGGCAACCAGCACAGTGCAGCCGCGGGCCATGGCCTCCTGCATGGCTGGGGCTGGGTGCCAGGAGGATGGGGGGGTCCCTACCCTGGGGTGAGGTAGAGCCTGGCATGGAGGGGTGAGCGTGATGGAGACCCCATCCCGGCCATCCCTGCTCCATAGGAATAACGGACGGGATCAGCTGTCGACACCGGAGCCACTGAGAGGCAGCTGCCATGGAAAGTGATAGGGAGCGCTGGGGCCACCCTGCTGTCCCAGCAAGGGGGAAGGGGGGGCATTCCCAAGGAGACACGCATGGCTTCAACGCGCCTGTGCCAGGGATTCACGCTGCAGTCCCATGGGTGCAGGGTCAAGCCTTGGGAACACGGCTCCTGCTGTGCGTGCTCGCAGGCACGCATGCACACAAACCCATAGGCACACGCATGCATACAGCAGCACACAGGCTCTGCATGGACACGCAGGTGCTGGGATGCTGCAGCCAAGCCAAGGGGCTGGGGACCCCCCCCCCCATACACACACACCCCATCCTTGGCAGCAGCATCAAATTTAGACCAAGCCCTGGGCCACACCGAGCCGAGGAATCCGGCACCGCAGCCGGGATCTGCTTCCCAAGGAGCTTTCCTGAGGGGGAATCCTGGCCCTGAGCATGTGCCCGGGGTCCCCATCGCCCTGAGGGTTCCATCTCCCGTGCCCCACGTGCCATCATTAGGGATCCCTTAAGTGTGTGCTTCCTCCCCAGCCTGACTCATGGGCCGGATGCCATCACCACATCCTGCCCACCACAATCTGCACACCGCATCCTGCCCATCACCGCCATACCCCAGGCAGCCGGACCTGCCTGTATCCCAACAGGAGCTGGATGGATCCTGCACCATGGGCAGTGGCTTTGGGCAGACACTCAGAGCGCAGGAGCCAGGATGGAGGGAGAAGCACTTCATCCCCATGAGGGCTCCTGTGGGGACCTCAGGTGTCCCCATCAAGGGGCATGCAGGCGTGTGCATGGATGTTGGACACGTTTATGTGCATCCGTGCATGCATGGGGGTGTGTGCATGGATCTGACCCCTTCATAAACAGCCCTGCAGTTGGACCTTGCCCCCACCGCTGCCACTGAGCAGCACCCGTGCTGGCTCCCACTTGTAGCCATGGTTCCAAACCCCACTGCTGGAGCTGCAGGGAGGCAGCGGCAGGGCCGGGCTCCAGGCAGGGTCGTCGGGGCTGCAGGTGCCTTGGTGCCGCTTCCCCTGCAGCCTCCCACCTGCATGGGGGGGACCTCCCGGGTGCAGGCAGCACCCCCAGTGCTGGGAGGCTGCGGGGGGCACCCCAGGGGTTTCATCTTCAACGCTCTCCCTGCGCTCCCATTCATCCTCAGCCCTCCCCGGAGGTCCCGGCTATCGCTGCCCCATCTCAGCATCCCCGAGCAACCGGGACCGGGCCAAGCCCCAGGGGGGCTGCACGGTCGGCACGGTGCTGGCTGCGGCACAGAGGGGAATCCCATGGGAAGGGCTCTGCCGGGACCTGCCGGAACCAACCGCCGCCGCACCGTGCCCTCCAGGCCCCGCGCTGGCACGCCACGGCATGGCACGGCACCAGTGCTCCCATCGGCACCCAGCACCAGGGTGGGCACCCTGGGGGTCCCTGCCCCATCCCGACCTCACCTCCTCGAGGGGCAGCACCGCACAGAGCATCCAAAGCACAGAGATTGAATAAAACCATCGGCATTGCTGTCGTTATTGCTCTTTACAGGTCGAACACCAGGAAAACCAGTGGAAATGGGGAAAAGACCAGCAACGTCACCGTCATAAATAGAAGATGTGTCCTGGGAGGGGACACGAGCACTCACAGACACTCACACACACACACAGCCCTGGGAGGGTAAAGTTGGGGGTCCACATTTGCCCCCACCCCACAAAGCATCCAGCTTCACCCAGATCATTAAAACGGGGGTCCCCAGGATGCAGCCCACACCCCAGTCAGCACGGCCCCCCCAGTGGGCTCTGTGCAGGGCAGAAACAGGCCCTTACCCCCCACCCATGGGTGCCGGTGAGGAGCAGGGCAGGCAGGGTGACCACACATGGGCTCCCATGCAAATGGGCAATGGGAAGGCACTGGGGACCCGCCGCACACCCATGGACATGGGTGCCCTTTGCCAGTGACCTGGCTCTCCGGTGCTGGCACAGGGTTCTGATGGAGCCAGGGGGATGGATGCGTGGCCACCGCACCAGGGAAGCAACAATGGGTCTGAGTTCAAGGGTCCCATCCCCACCAAGAGGTCACCCCCTGCTCCTCCATGTCCATCATTGCCTTCTATGAGCACCCCACCCCAGTGCCCTCAACCGCGGCACGGCTACACATTGGAGACCTGCTGGTGCTCCCTGGCCTGGCGCAGCCCGTACAGCCACTTGATGACGCGGGCGTTGCGCTCGATGATGGAGATGCCATACGGGACGCGCTCCGGCGGGCGTCCCTCCGGTGTGGCGGCGCTGGGCGGCGAGCGGCCACCCTCCGAGCTGGCCGTGCTCACGCTGTGGAACTTGAGCGAGACGATGTCGGAGCTGGCGCGGGCGAAGCGCTCGGCGCCCGTGTCCTGCAGCTCCTCGGGGTCCAGGCCGCAGTAGTTGAAGAAGCGCTCCAGGTCGGCGGTGGCCCGCGACAGGCGGTCGCTCAGGTCCGACTTGGAGCGGTGCAGCACCGGCTGCCGGCGCGCGCTCTCGGGGCGGGAGGGTGAGCTCCGTGATGGGGTTGCCGGCAGCGCGCCGGGGATGGGGGATGAGGGTACCGGTGTCACTGGTGTCATCGGTGCCATTGATGTCACTGGTGTTATCGGTGCCATTGATGTCACTGGTGTTAGCGGTGCCATTGATGTCACTGGTGTCATCGGTGCCATTGATGTCACTGGTGTCATCGGTGCCATTGATGTCACTGGTGTTATCGGTGCCATTGATGTCACTGGTGTCATCGGTGCCATTGATGTCACTGGTGTCATCGGTGCCATTGATGTCACTGGTGTTAGCGGTGCCATTGATGTCACTGGTGTCATCGATGTCATCGGTGTCACTGGTGTCATTGGTGCCATTGATGTCACTGGTGTCATCGATGTCATCGGTGTCACTGGTGTCATCAGTGCCATTGATGTCACTGGTGTCATCGGTGTCACTGGTGTCATCGCTGCCATTGATGTCACTGGTGTCATCGATGTCACTGGTGTCATCGGTGCCATCAATGTCACTGGTGTCACCGCTCCCCATGGAGCCCCGCAGGGACGCACATCCACCCTCCTCACGGCCACGCTGCCAGGGGGCTTGGTGCCAATGGGACTCTGCGGTGGTTTGGCAGCACCGTCCGCCCCACTGCACTGCGGCGCCGGCTCCTCCGCCCTCCACTTGCAGTCCCTGCCCAGCGGGGTCTCCGCCTTGGGGAAGGGGCTGTCGCAGAGGTTGATGAGGTTGTTGAGGATCTCCAGGTCGAGGCAGGTCTTGGTGCCACGCGGTCCCGGCGGTGCCCTGCGGCTGGGGGTGAGCACGGCCCGGCGCACCCCCGCTGTGAAGAGGGGCTGCTTGAGGAGTGGTGGCTTCACCGGCTCCTGCCTGGTGCTGGCGACCCGCTGGCTCTTCACGTACTTGGCCTTGTCGGCCTCCAGCCTCTCCACCGCGCTCGGCTTCCCGGCGCCCGGCTCGGTGCCACGGCGGAAATAAGCCGGGCCCTTGCGGAGGATGCGGACGGGCATGGTCGAGGTGAAGGGAGCCGGCACCGGCACCCCCTTCATGGCATCACCGGCCTGCAGCGCCTCGACGGGCATCCTCGGCGCTGGCACCGCAGCACCGGTTGGGTGCCCGGCAGCCGCAGCGATGGGCTCACGTGCCGGCAGCTGCAAAGAGAGCCTGGAGTGAGCGCGGTGCCCCGGTCCCCAGCCCCACCGCAGACAAAGGCCGCCGGGCTGTGTGCGGTGCCGCACTGTCTGCGCCGGCAGCACCGGGCTCCTATTTGAAGGCCTGAACCACGCCTCCATCGCCACGGCGGCCTCCCCGGCACCGTGCATGGCCAATCGGCACAGCCGGCCTGCTTCAAACCGCACCCGGGCCAATGGGGATGGCGGGGAGGGAGCCCCAGCCACGGCAAGGGGCACCCCGTGGTGCTGAGGGGTGGTTTGGTCCTGCACCCCTCAGTGATGCTCTGCCTGCATCGCCTGTGCCTAAGGGTGCATCACCTGCACCAAGGGGTGCATCTCCCATGCCCGGGGGTGCATCACCCACATCAAAGGATGCATTGCCTGCACCCAGGGGTGCATCAGCTACTCACAGGGGTGCATTGCTTATGCCCAGGGGTGCACCACCTGCATCAAGGGGTGCAACACCCACATCAGGGCGTGCAATGTCCATGCCCAGGGGAGCATCCCCCATGTCCAGGGCTGCATCACCCACCCCTCTCACCCCCCACCCTGCCAGGCTGGGGGGCTCTGGGGCTCTGCTCCCCCTGCTCTCTATTCCCCAGCTCCCTGCTCCCACCTTGGATCCCATTGGAAAGCACCACCGGGGTTTTCCACCTGAGCTTGCCCAGCCGAGGTGTGCTGGGAGCGGCGCTGGGGCCCCACGCACCCCACGTCCCTGGGCCCCTGCCAACCCCAACAGTCACAACCGCCCACCCCAGCGGTCGCACCAAGCCCCGGCCTGCCCATAGCGGCGTGGGGAGGGTCCAAACCAGCCCTGAACCCCATTGCAGCCCCTCCCCAGCTGCTCCCAGTGCCCAAGGGTGGGCAGAGCCGCAGGGGTCCCAACACACAGAGGGGCTCAGGCAGCAGCGGGGGGCACATGCGGTCGGATCTTGCCCCCCCCATTCCCGAGCTGCTTTGAACCCCCCAGTATGGGGGTGCCCCCATGCTGTGACAGCCCCGGTGCTCACCGGGTGCAGCGGTGCCGTGGCCGCGGTCCCTCCGGCGGTGGCCCCAGCGGCTGCCGTCACCGTCACCGCTCCCTGGCACAACAACTTCCTGGGTGCCACCCAGGGCCCGTCCCAGCATCACCGGAGCCAGCGCCGGCACCCACAGCGGCGCGGAGCCGCACGCACCAGCATCGGCACCTGCATCCCAATGGGGACCATGCACAGGTCCTCAGCTTAGAGAAGGTGCAAACGCGCCCACTCCCCCCCCCCCACAGAAGGCAAAGCACGGACACAGCTCAGCCCTAGGGTGAGCCATGGGATGGCTCCTGTGGCACAAGGCTGAGGCACAGGGGCCCCAGCACAGCCATGCGGGCAGCGTGGGGTCCCCTCCCTGCCGGACCAGCAGGGACGGCCAGGCCGGGCACAACCTGCTGCTCCGCATTCCTGCGGTGCTGGGTTAGGGTTAGGGTTCACCCTGGTACAGCCGGGCTGAGCCAAGCCAGCCCCCAGACACCCCAAAACACAGCCTCATCACCCCATGCCCCCCAGCCCTGCCGGAGCATGGGCATCCAAACGCCAGGGCTCAGAACCCCACTTACACTGGGTGATGGCCACCCATGGCCCCAGCTCCAGTCCCTCCCAGTGCGGGCAGCACAACCAGGCTCATGGAATGACCCAGGCAGTGGTTCCAGGGAGCCATACTGGGAGATGTGTGCTTGTGCCCCCCCTCACTGGGCAACCCCGCTGGCACAGGACCGGCACCACCTCCAGCACCCACCTGGATGAGCCCTGCGATGCGGGAGCCGGCTCGGCACGGCTCAGCCACCACAGTGCTGCTCAGCCGGGCTGCTCCGATGTCCCCGTGCGTCCCGGTCCCCAGCCGCGTCCTCCCCTTCTGCACTGGGAGCTGCTCCACACCGCGGCTGCTCCTGCTGAGTCAGTGCTGGGCGAGGACGAGCTCACACGGGATTAAAACCGTGGGGCATCCTCCATGCCCGGCTGCGTCACGCGGTGCAATGGGACACGGTGACGTCCCGGCGCGGTGCCGGTGCAGCCGCGGTGCCGGATGGGGATGCACGGCCTGAGGTGCTCCCATTGCCAAAGCCAAATCACCTCTGGATGCCCCCCTGCCTGCTGTGGGTCCTGGTGCCCTGGCAGGGATCCAGGGAGATGGGAAGGTTCCCAGCCTGGCTCCCCGCCGGCACAGCCAGGCAGCAGGGCCTGCTCCGACATGGAAAACCTGCCTTGTTCCCGCATGAACCCAGCAGCAGCGCTCTGTAATGAGCTCCCAACCGCAGGAAAACAACCCCGGAGAGTGGGAATGGAGCTGATGGACCAGAGCGGGGTCACCAAGCCTGCGGGCACAAAGCCCTGCTGGCCTGAACCCAGCGCCGGGGTGGCCCTGGGTGCCATGGCACAGGCCAGGAGCGGATGGAGCCGTGTGCCTTTCCAACTGCTCTTGGAAGCAACACAAGGAGCAAGCAGAGAGCAAAGAGCGGGGTAAAACACATGGAAAACAGTGTCCGGGTGCCACAGGGCTGCCCTGTGCCCGGCTGACAGCAAAGCTGGATCCACACCATGATCCTGGCTGGAAAAACACTGCTCAGAGCCTGCCCGGATGGGCTGAGCCCTGCCGTGGGCACCGAGCCTGCGCAGGGTGCAGCAGCGGGTGCAGGCGGCTGCCCGGGCATGTTGGGTGCTCCTGGAGCGGGCGTTGGAGCCTCACCCTCACTGGGAGCATCCCAGGACGGGAATGGGGAAGGCAGCCAGCGGTGGGAGCGCGCCCCAGCACCCCTGACACCACCCGGCCCCGATGGACGGGGCCTGGAGCAAGCTGCTCCAGTGGAAGGGGTCCCTGCCCGTGCAGGGGTTGGAGCTGGGGGAGCTTTAAGGTCCCTTCCACCCGACCCAGGCTGGGGTTCTGTGATGCTGTGTCTGGGGGCAGAGGGACCCGCAGGGGCTGGCGCTGGCTTCGCTCTCACCTCCCACGGGCGCTCAGGGCTGAGCCTCCCCCGTGTCACTTCCAGGATTTCCAGGAGCTAAACACAGCCTTCAAGGAGCAGAAAACACACTCAGAGGCCAAAGCCTTGCTGGGAGTGCTGGGTGGAGGCAGCCCCAGGCACAGACATCGCAGAGCCAGGAAGCCCCCCAACACCTCTGCTTGGTGAGTGCTGATTCCCAATGGTTCCTTACATCCCCTTGGCACACTGAGACTGTGCCTGGCTTTGTAGCAGGGAAATGTCCCCTGTGCCATGTGCCCTGACTGAGGGCAAGGCACCCTCAGTTTCCCCCATTGTCAGGCACCAGCATCTTCATCAGGGGCTGTAGCAATAGGATAAAGGGTGATGGGTTTAAATTGGAACAAGGGAGATCTAGGTTGGAGATAAGGCAGAAGCTCTTCCCTGTGAGGGTGCTGAGGCGCTGGCACAGGGTGCCCAGAGAAGCCGTGGCTGCCCCATCCCTGGCAGTGCTCAAGGCCAGGTTGGACACAGGGGCTTGGAGCAAGCTGCTCCAGTGGAAGGGGTCCCCAGGCTGGGATCTGTGATGTGGGTGCTCAATGGGGATGCTCCGGCTGGGTCCAGCACCGCTTGCTCCGCTCCGCAGGGGCAGAGGGCAGGATCCCGCCCGCACCCCGGCAGCAGCTCGGGGCCCGGAGCCGGGGGGTGACAGATGGGGACAGGCCGGGCACGAGGCCTTTGTCTGCGCGGTGGCTGCGGCACGGACATGCAGATGGCGGCTGCCGGCGGGGCTGGGACCGCAGCCCGAGGCCGGGCGAGCGCCGGGCCCTGGGGAGCCGGCCCTTTTGTCGGGGTCTCACCTCCAGCAGCGGCCCCTTCCCCGCACCCCTCCCCCCCTTTCAACTTTCAACTTGACCTGCTCCTTTCACATGGAAATGGGATGCAAATGGCACCGGAGGGGGGCTGCCAGCGGCCAGCGCCTGCGACCTGGCAGCGGCTCCCTGCACCCTGCTCTGGGGGTCACACACATGAGCCTGGGGCGGCCGGCGGTCCCTGGGGCGAGGGGGAACCCCTTGTCCCCTCGCAACGGAGCAGCCGCATTCCCCTGCCCTGAAAGAGCATCCCTGCTGCTCGGGGATGGCTCTTGCTGGGGCTGAGCCTGAGGATGGACCCCACCATTTCCTATCCGCATCCTCACTGGTGATGGGGAGGGGGCTTCCCAGTGATCCGGTCACCCAGCAGAGTCCAGTGGCCCGGGACCGTTCGGCTCCCAAATGCTGCCATCTGCCTCCACGGCCTTGGCTCGCATCTGCCGGGGTGCAGAGGGCCGGGGGCTCAGCTGCAGCATGGGAAGGGGCAGCATGTGTTGGGTGGATCGGGATGAGGAGCGTGAAGCAGCAGCGTGGGGGTCCTGCACCCAGAGCCCCTCGGGCTGCCCTCACAAGGGTCTCCTTTGTGCTGCCACATTAAACACCAATGAAACACCGGCCCCTCCTGACCCCAACCCACACCAGCCCGAGCCCCTGCGCCTGGTTCCTTCTAGCATCTTGGACCTGCTCCCCCTCTTCCAGGTCCCCCCAGCACTGGGCTGTGCTGGGATAGACTTGTTTTTCTCCATAGGAGCTGGTACACGGATGGTTTGCATTCTTGCTGCAAACAGAGCAGATAACCTTGGGGTGTTTTGGCTATCACTGAGCAGCTCTTGCACAGCATCAGGGTCTTGTCTGCTTCTCACAGTGCCCAGCCAGTGAGGAGACTGGGGATGCACAGGAAACTGGGGGTGGATGGAGATGGGACAGGAGACCTCAGTGAGCAAGGGGTACCCCAGGCTATGGGCTCTCCTACTCAGCAATAAAAGCTGGAGAAAAAGAGGGAAGCGGGAGACATTTGGAGTCACTGCTGCACATGGATCTGCTGTCCTGGGACTGGCAGGACACGGGCCGGTATGGGCAGCAGTGAAGGAATTGTTTGGGTAGGAAGGGACCTTAAAGCTCCTCCAGCTCCAACCCCTGCCATGGGCAGGGACCCCTTCCACTGGAGCAGCTTGCTCCAAGCCCCTGTGTCCAACCTGGCCTTGAGCACTGCCAGGGATGGGGCAGCCACAGCTTCTCTGGGCACCCTGTGCCAGCGCCTCAGCACCCTCACAGGGAAGAGCTTCTGCCTCAGAGCTCAGCTCAGTCTCCCCTCGGGCAGGTTCAAGCCATTCCCCTTGCCCTGTCCCTACATGTCCCTGCTGCACCACAAGGGCACGGCTGGAGCCAGGAGCGGAGCAGGGCCGGCTGCACAGGGACAGGGACAGACACTGGGGATGGCAGCCCCAGGCTCTGCAGCCGCTGTCCCAGCGACACCCGGTGGGTGCTGTGGGAAGAGCCGCGGGGTGCTGCGATGGGGGGGGAATTGTGCTGCTGGGGTTGACCTGGCCTCACCCAAAGTCACCTCCCAGCTGCTGCAAGCGGCTTATCCGCAGCTCCCGGCTTTACTGCCCGCCTGGTGCCGCCCCGCTGCCGTGTGCCAGGGTGCACCCGAGGTGGGGACATCGCCACGCTCCCCGAGGGCCCCATGGCAGCCCCTGCCCCTGCACAGACCCCCGGGGGGGGGGGACGACACAGGC